TAATTTAGCCAAAATGTTTCCCCCAAAAAACTATAAAACTTTTGTCTGAAACTTTTTTTTCTAAAATGCATATTTTTGGCGGTATTTAATTGTAACACTTTAATTTGAATACCCGGTATAGTAAATATGGAGACTTCATCAGAAATGTCCAGTATTTGTGTTTGTGTTAATCCTGCTGTAAAATCAAAAACACGAAAGTATGACTAAGTGTAGTTACTTAAACCCCGGCTTTACAAACATTGAAATAAGTGGTGAATAAATACTTCAATGTGTTACTTGCCTCAAAATTTTGGCTGGAGATAGCATAAGACCCAGTAAGTTGAGATATTTAGAAACTCTGATCTTAGATCTTTCGGGAAACAAAAGTTAAATCTTCCTAAATAAAACTGTAATATTCTGATTTATTCATTCGACAACGCCCTCTCTATACAACTTTGGCGCCCCGTAAGGGTAATTTTAGCCACTATATAGAATATAGATAAAATAAAGGGAAGTAAAAGATAAAATAATTTGTTATAACTATTCAGTGGCTTCAATTCAATGATTTTGTTTTCACAATTGCAAAGAAATAGAGAAAGATATAGTTAAAAACACAAAAACACATTAAATTACGGAGAATGGGGCTAAAACAAGTATACGAAAACAAGGGGATAGAGACGACAAAAGAAGTTTAGAAAATTTCGTTACAAAAACTAAAAAAATATCTCGTAACTGGCAAGAGAATACGACGGAGGAATATTGGCAAAGTAAATTTAAATCTCGCGATACAGCGACCGATCTTACAGGCAAAGGTAACTCTAGAAAATATCTATAGGAAGCTTCGTTACTCGTTATTTATTTTTAGCCACTACGAAAGACGTTCGGTATCATATTTGGAGAATACAGGTAACAATTTATTGACTAAATTCCAATAAATTTGTTCACACAACCTCAGAGATGTAAGCGTATACATTGTTCAAAGGGTATTTTATTGAAGTGATTACACCTTTTACAGTGCCATTAGCAACGCCACTGCGGTGTTTTATGGCGTTGAGTGTTGAATATCATCAATAAAATGTGTAATTTCCTGAGTATGTTTAGAATTCGAACTCTGCTTTCAATTTATACTATTTATACACAAGAAACAACAAATAATTGCATACAGTTGTCTGAACTCATCTAATAAACATTTGTGTGAGAAGCAAATTATCAATTTTTCTATCGAATTCTCATTTTGTGCGATTTTGTTCTATATGGTATATTTTTATGACACTATTAAGCTTTTCATTTGACTCGTAAGTCAGTATTTAATGTATTTTTAATAAGTATTTATTATTTGATTCTACCTATCAACAAAACTTATTTTGGTTTAAAACCCGAAAAGCTATAAACGAAGTTTTAAAGGTCATAAAAGCTCTCGCTATACCAACGAACTCTATAGATTCTAAAACCTGGCAAATCCGCTTAAGAAAACGTATAAGACCTGGTTCGAAGGTATTTTTAGCTATAGTTTACTGAAGGAAAAGCAACTGAAGTAATCCAGAAATGCATGTAGGTAATTTCTTTGTAATTCTAAAAATAAATTGCAAATTATAAAATAAGTCAATTATTTAGCACATCCGAAAACATTAGCAACATACATTTTTTTTAAAGATATTCTTACGCTGGTTTTTGGTAAACTCAACTTATTAATAGCTCAACTTTTACAATTCACAACTATTAACATTAACGTTCAAGGTCTATCATAAAACTTAAACTCTGACGTCATGATCATCGACTTATATGATATAGCTCCCTTGAACCTTCTGGAACCTTCCTATGTTTCTTGTCACGGAATGACATTTCTAGACTGTTCTCTATTCTTATTTTATTCGTACTTTTACTTATGACAACTGTAGGGTGATGGGTGAATTGCACTTCTTCTATCGGATGGATAAAATAATGTTATTTTAACAGACACGTTATTTGCGAACAGGTTGTTATTTCTGTGTGTTTAAAAAATAACAGACCTGTTAAAAATAACACAGGTTGTCAATCATAACCCCCTTTTACGTTTCCTATAACAGCCGCAGGCTATTGCAGAGTGCAGGGCATTGATATGGCAAACTGGGAATACGACATTTGTAAGCGCAAAGTGGGATCGGTCCGCCATTACTATGAGCAAAGAATACTTACCCAAGAAGCGAAACTGAATGAGTTTTCGTCTGTATTAAAGTATGGGAACTTAATACACTGGGAAACTATGAAAATTAATCAATTTTTGTCGTTTGGTTTATAAGAATTGAACACATACTAAAGTAACAATGACATACAGAACATTATTACTATGTTCTTTATGTAAAATAGGTTATTTTAATAACAAAATAAGTACTGTAGGTACAATAATGACAGTCACTACACAATAGCGTAAGCAAATAACCTGGTCATTCTGCAAATAGGGAATTTTGAGAACAATTGAAGACACAAGTGGATAAATGTATAATGTCACATTTTTTCAAAAAATGATTTTTATGGCCTATTATACTTAAAATATACTATATTTTTTGTTTGTGATAGTTCTAATTTCCAATTTTGATAAATAACGGCTATTCATCAGATAGGAAGGTATCATTAGCCATATATCGTAATGCAATAATTGTAAAACCTTAAATTTCTCTAAATAATCTTTTTGTGACATGACACCTTCATCCACTCGTGTCTTTAATTATAGAACAGTGATGCAAGGACCATTCACTGTTTATCAATCCCAAGACATAAATGGTCGTTTTCACAAGAAAAAAAGAAAATAGAATTAAAACCTCTAGAGCTCCTAAACATAAAACAAAACTTGGCATCAGAGGTGAAGTATCTAGGTAGCTCCTTCGACAACAAGTTAACATGGAACTCACACTTAGAAAACAGAGTCAAAAGAGCATACATTGCTTATGAACAATGCCGCCGAATCGTGTGGCGCACCTGGGGTTTCTTCCCCAGAGTTATCACATGGACTTACATGGTCATCATAAGACCTATGCTAACATACGATGCAGTTGTCTGGGTACCGAAAAGCCAAAAATTAACAGCTATTCGCAAACAAGAACAAATTCAAATAGCAGCATGTCTCAACATAACAGAAGCCATGAAAACAACACCAACTAGAGCCATGGTAGTCATTGTTAGTCTTACTCCTCTTGATATTTACATCAAGGAGGTTGCTCTCATGACAATGACACGCCTCTGCACGGTTGAAATAGAAACTGATGTTTAGAATAGAAGAGTCGGAAGTGGCAGGTACGATCCATGTCTACACCGACAGTTCTAAAACAAAACAAGGCTCAGGATGTAGAATATACTCCATTTCCTTGAACCTCAACATAAAACGGGTTGTGAGCAATGTAGCTCAAACCGAGCTCACGCAGATTGTCATAGCAACAAAAGAAATAACCAGAAACAATATCACTGCTAGGAACAAGCTCATCTATACACCTAGCAGATAAGCACTTATTCAGGGTTAGTACTAGAATGTCACGAAGCTTTGGCAAGAGTATCCAATCCATCAACAATGTGTTGCTGATTCACTAGCCAAGAAGGCAGCCAACCAAATACTTTTTGGACCTGGCCCTTCTATTGGACTGACAACATAGTGACAGTCCTAATTAGAGAACATTCCCTTGTGAAATACAAGGAAAGATAGGATGAAACTAGAAACTACAGAGTTGCCAGGGAGCTTTTAAGTTATCTTGACAATACTACAGCAAACAGATACTTCACTATGACTAGACAGAATCTGCGCCTGATCACATATATTCGGACTGGTCATTGTCAAGTACGGAAGCATCTCCATATAATGGGGCTATCATAATCCGCACCCTGCAGGGGGTGCGAACAAGAAGATGAGACCATTGAGCATATCCTCTATGATTGCCTGACGCTCTTATTTATTAGAAGATTTGATTTCGGCGAGTATTGGCTAACACCGGCCGATATAAGAGAAGCACCTCTTGGCGACGTTGTCACCTCTACATTCAATCTGTAGACGGGCTCATGTGATAGGAGGTGCCTATTAGGAGGATACACAATGGGTCTAGTGAGGCCTAAGTGCATGGGGTAACGCACCCTCCACACGTTACATTTTCAGAAGTACTGTAGATAGCTGCATGCATTTCGATTACATCCTGATTTCAGTGACTTGGTTCCTCGGAATGAGTTTGTCATATATTTTAATTATTGTTTTATATTATTGTTTATTTACTGTTTTAATTCGAATGGTTTAAAAAAATATTTTAAATAAATGACTAAAAACGATGCATAATACGTAGTCGTAAATTATCATTATAGGTAATACTGATTTATAAATTTTAAAAATAAAACTACAGTCGGATGCAAAAACGTTCATTACGAACAGCGCAATGCATTTTTTTTTGTAATAAAAATCTTAAACCTAATTTCTAATTTCTAATTACTACTTAGTTAAATACAATTATTTAACTATACTGCAGTTTTCACAAAACGCTAATAATAATATACCAACAGTTGCTCTACATAAATTGACAGCTATATTTGACGTTAAACCACCTCTAAAACACTGAGAAAACTTGGCAGTTTTTTGTTTGCAAATCGCCCATTTAGTTTCACTTCTTGGGTAGGTATTTTTTGCTATGAGTGCAATTTGTCAATTTTATAGGGTATCTTCCTAGTGTCATTTTTGTAATTAAATTAAATTTTTATAAAACGCGTGGTTATAATTTGTATACAGGCATAACTGGGTGGCAACATTACCAATTCAGCGTTATATGTTCCAAGAATTTTCTTTATGACTTTTGCTCGATTGAGACTTTCATTTGAATGATAATCAGTTAATCGAAAATATTTGATTAATCGTAAATAATCCATTAATCGAAAATATTCGATCAATCACTTCAAAAATTTGAAATAAAATTTTGTTTTCTTGGGATTGAAAATATACTGGTTATTATTGGTTAAATATTTTCAAAAACGGGAAAAGGAAGAAATTAATTAAAATACATTTATTGAATACTTACAGCTCTAAGTTCCCTCTGCGAAAAAAATTTTGGTAATTGCCCTCTCAGTGGAACCAGCAGAATCAAAAAGAACGGGAATGCTAAAGATGCCTTTGTTGATTTGATTATCCACAAAATCACCAGACAAATTAATTGGACGAACGTGAACATATGCATTTTCATAGTTTTCACCTGAAACAAAAAGATAATTTGAAAATATGTTAAATTCAACGAAGTCACAGCACATCTCACAATCATTTTAGCTTATTATACACGTTTAAACGTATACAAACTTTTTTCAAAAAAATAGGTAAAAACAATACAATAAGCAACCGGAGTTGCTGTGTTGTAAATTGTTAAAAATACTAGCAAAAAATAGTGTAAATTATAAAAAAAATTTAGTAGCAAAGTGGAAATTAAATCAAAGAAATAAATGGATAGCTGTACAACAAGAAGAAAAATTATCCTTATTTTTGTAATAATAACAGTAATATTGGAAATAACAGGAGATAAAAACTTGAAAAGTTTTAAATAAACAATAATTTATCATTTTACGATGTTCTTCAACATCCCTTTAATCTTAAATGTTCAGGAAGAATTAGATTTCTGCCTTTGATTATTGTATGTGGCTGGAATACAATTTTAAGATTTACTGATAGGAAATCAGTTTTAATCATACATTCTATGTTTTCTTTCGAACAAAAATGAAAATATATTTAACAATCCTTCTGTTTATACATTTTAACTTCACGCTATTATTTAATTTTTGAAAGAATAGGTTAATTCTTTAAAGACAACTTATTAGACTTAAGCAACTTCGCATACATTTTCTTGTAAATACTGTTGCCTGCCTAAATTTTATTATTGATTTTTATTGATTATACTTATTTTTTTTTAGTTTAAGCGATAAAAATATATAATAATAATAAATTAATATTTCACTTGTTTTACAAATCCATATAGTTTCATTAAAACTAACATATATACTTTTTAATTACGAATTCTGTTAAAAATTGTATTGTCAGTATACGCAATTAGTGCAGTCACGCACGGAGCGAATATCTACCATGATTAGATCACTTCAATGCATTTCGGTTTACCAAAGATAATACTATTTGACTATGGTGTTTGTATATAAAATATTAAATGGTTTGACACCACTTTATTTTCGAAAATACATTAATGTTATCAATAATATTCATAACTACTGTAGCACAAATAACAGTAACTTGCACACACAAATAAACGAACATCAATGAATTACTTATTTTTCAAATGCTTTGACCATTACAACAAATTGCCGTTTTGTATTAAAGCTAGTTCATCACTAATAGATTAAACATGTTCATGATTGATGAAATAAGTGTAAATGTTGATTAAATGAGCTAATTTTTTTCAAAAATTTTATTTGATGGTATCGATATGTATATTTCGGTATATTTTTATATTTTTTATTTTAGACTTGTGTATTTTGTATTTTGAACTTTTGTATTTTGATCTTTGAAGGTACCATTTGGGAACGGCGCGACAAGGTAGACGACAGTTGACAGGCAGCAAGTAGCAAATTCTACCGTGCTAAAACTGCTGTCGCCTTTTGTGTCTTCACAAATGTGTTTCATATATTACATGTGTCTCCCTTGCTGTCGTTTTACGCTTTAAGTCGGTCTGGAGTCGTGTCTTCCCAAATGGTACCTATATATTAACATTTTAGGGTTACCTACTTCAATAAAGATATCTCTTAATTTTTTGTCACACTATCATGGTTTGTACCTCGGCAGGTTCAGATAAGATTCCTATTAAAAATATGGTACGTGGTTTACATTTGGGTATATGTATTTTATTACAGTTTTACCTTAAATTTTTTTTAAAACATCAATTAAAATATTATGGGAAATTAAGTATAACATTATTTATCAATTTCATTATTGGAATGTCAATTCCATCAGCTTAAGTTTGCAGTAATATAGATAAGACATTCATAAATCGTGAATTATAAAATATCGGTATATCGTAAATGAAGGATTAAGATAACTTGGAGAACACGGAATAAATTTCGTGATCTAATTTTAACAATTAATAATATAAAATAAATAAGTGTTCGCCCAGTGGTCGAAATTCGCCCATAATCATTATTGAAAATTTGAGAAAAACGTTTATGCTTTGGCAGGTTTCTAATATTTTTTTTTATTCTAACGCATTCGTTGATTGTATATCTGAGACTATACACTTTTATAATGTACAATGTATAATACACAATAAAACATAGTTCAGTACCATTATAATTAAATAAAAAATAAATTCACTAAAATAACAGTAACTCACAATAATTTTAAAACCCTCATTTATTTATGTGATATGATCATAATTTGTATTTTCAGGTTACTCTTGAGGCCCCTAAAAAAGGAAGGGGTAAAATGTGGGTAATCTACATCGCTCTACTATATCCGACCTCAGCTTTATAATCATTAACAGAACAGAAAAGTTATAAAAAAAGGGGGTGGGGAAAGGAGGTCAGCCTACTCTTCGAATTTTTCTATTTTTTTTAATTATCTACACAACCAATATCTCAAAATATCTGAATTATAGAAATAAAATCACCCCCTACCTACACTAATGGGAAGGGGGGGCGAAGTGACTTGGCGTTTGGGGTGGTGGTGAAATCGTTTTCGCCTTAAAGTGAAATCCACCGTAGGTACCCAAAGTTTATTTTTAACCGACTTCAAAAAAGGATGAGGTTCTCAATTCATCGGAATATTTATTTTTATTAATTTTTATTAATTTTTATTAATTTTTATTAATTTTTATTAATTTTTATTAATTTTTATTAATTTTTATTAATTTTTATTAATTTTTATTAATTTTTATTAATTTTTATTAATTTTTATTAATTTTTATTAATTTTTATTAATTTTTATTAATTTTTATTAATTTTTAGTAATTTTTATTAATTTTTATTAATTTTTATTAATTTTTATTAATTTTTATTAATTTTTATTAATTTTTATTAATTTTTATTAATTTTTATTAATTTTTATTAATTTTTATTAATTTTTATTAATTTTTATTAATTTTTATTAATTTTTATTAATTTTTATTAACTTTTATTAACTTTTATTAACTTTTATTAATTTTTATTAATTTTTATTAATTTTTATTAATTTTTATTAATTTTTATTAATTTTTATTAATTTTTATTAATTTTTATTAATTTTTATTAATTTTTATTAATTTTTATTAATTTTTATTAATTTTTATTAATTTTTATTAATTTTTATTAATTTAATTTTTATTAATTTTTATTAATTTTTATTAATTTTTATTAATTTTTATTAATTTTTATTAATTTTTATTATTTTTTATTAATTTTTATTAATTTTTATTAATTTTTATTAATTTTTATTAATTTTTATTAATTTTTATTAATTTTTATTAATTTTTATTAATTTTTATTAATTTTTATTAATTTTTATTAATTTTTATTAATTTTTATTAATTTTTATTAATTTTTATTAATTTTTATTAATTTTTATTAATTTTTATTAATTTTTATTAATTTTTATTAATTTTTATTAATTTTTATTAATTTTTATTAATTTTTATTAATTTTTATTAATTTTTATTAATTTTTATTAATTTTTATTAATTTTTATTAATTTTTATTAATTTTTATTAATTTTTATTAATTTTTATTAATTTTTATTAATTTTTATTAATTTTTATTAATTTTTATTAATTTTTATTAATTTTTATTAATTTTTATTAATTTTTATTAATTTTTATTAATTTTTATTAATTTTTATTAATTTTTATTAATTTTTATTAATTTTTATTAATTTTTATTAATTTTTATTAATTTTTATTAATTTTTATTAATTTTTATTAATTTTTATTAATTTTTATTAATTTTTATTAATTTTTATTAATTTTTATTAACTTTTATTAACTTTTATTAACTTTTATTAATTTTTATTAATTTTTATTAATTTTTATTAATTTTTATTAATTTTTATTAATTTTTATTAATTTTTATTAATTTTTATAATTTTTATTAATTTTTTTTAATTTTTATTAATTTTTATTAATTTTTATTAATTTTTATTAATTTTTATTAATTTTTATTAATTTAATTTTTATTAATTTTTATTAATTTTTATTAATTTTTATTAATTTTTATTAATTTTTATTATTTTTTATTAATTTTTATTAATTTTTATTAATTTTTATTAATTTTTATTAATTTTTTATTTAATTTAATTTTTATTAATTTTTATTAATTTTTATTAATTTTTATTAATTTTTATTAATTTTTATTAATTTTTATTAATTTTTATTAATTTTTATTAATTTTTATTAATTTTTATTAATTTTTATTAATTTTTATTAATTTTCATTAATTTTTATTAATTTTTATTAATTTTTATTAATTTTTATTAATTTTTATTAATTTTTATTAATTTTTATTAATTTTTATTAATTTTTATTAATTTTTTATTAATTTTTATTAATTTTTATTAATTTTTATTAATTTTTATTAATTTTTATTAATTTTTATTAATTTTTATTAATTTTTATTAATTTTTATTAATTTTTATTAATTTTTATTAATTTTTATTAATTTTTATTAATTTTTATTAATTTTTATTAATTTTTATTAATTTTTATTAATTTTTATTAATTTTTATTAATTTTTATTAATTTTTATTAATTTTTATTAATTTTTATTAATTTTTATTAATTTTTATTAATTTTTATTAATTTTTATTAATTTTTATTAATTTTTATTAATTTTTATTAATTTTTATTAATTTTTATTAATTTTATTAATTTTATTAATTTTTATTAATTTTTATTAATTTTTATTAATTTTTATTAATTTTTATTAATTTTTATTAATTTTTATTAATTTTTATTAATTTTTATTAATTAATTTTTATTAATTTTTATTAATTTTTATTAATTTTTATTAATTTTTATTAATTTTTATTAATTTTTATTAATTTTTATTAATTTTTATTAATTTTTATTAATTTTTATTAATTTTTATTAATTTTTATTAATTTTTATTAATTTTTATTAATTTTTATTAATTTTTATTAATTTTTATTAATTTTTATTAATTTTTATTAATTTTTATTAATTTTTATTAATTTTTATTAATTTTTATTAATTTTTTATTAATTTTTATTAATTTT